GTCCAACTCCCTGTGCATAACGGTCATATGTCTGGCAATATAATCCCACACTTTCATTTATTTCCACCCAGTCCTTAATGTTTTATGTCACATTATCCATCTCGTCCCTAAGTTTCGCACACCAGTGTATATACATATATGTATACATATACATATATATGTAATATAGGGTGTCCAAAAATTATGGGCGCCAAACTTTATCGAATCCACTTTACCCGCTCTTAGTTGCACAAGTAGGTTTTCTTGCAATAGGCATGGTTACCAACGTGGAATTCCCAATATTTTTCAGATGGCGGAGGCTCATCCAATGCCATTTGCACCTCTTAGCATGCTAGAGGCGAAAGAGCATTATAAAGGACTTGTGCTTCCAATAATGACCGCAGAGAAGGATATCAAACGAGAGAGATAAGCAGAGGCAATCAAAAACAAATCCGGAGGAGATAGAAAACTCAGCGTTCCTAAGGACAGGACTATTAAAATGGGACGTTCGTGAGTCGACCATGATTCTGCGTGACCCATCAAAAAGGAGGCATAGAATCAGGACTTATCGAGGTAGTCTGTGATGCGGATTGTCATGCAAAAGCTTGATTGTTGTTTCTATCGTATGCGGAAATGCACTTCAATTCCGATCTCAACCGACAGTGCAGAGCCAAAAAATACAGAAAGTTGCTAACTCACTTGAATGGAGTCACGCTACCCTTCATCATTCTCTATAACCAAAAGAATTTAACGAGAAAAACCATTCCTCAACAAATAAAACGATCACATTCTGGCTATGAACATCGAAAGTGCAATCCCTTACAAAAAGTTTTCATAAGAACACCAAAATTATGTTTTCCAAGGGAGCCACCGGCATGGGTACGACACTCATAGTTTCGTCGGTGAAAAGTGGCAAAGATGTTGCTTAAAAGGCATACTGATTGACGTGCATGGTCCCCTATTAGCAGAGGACCTGTCCGGTTTGCAGTCGCAGTTTGGAGTCTTAGAAAGCAAGACTTAAGAACGGCTGGGAAGAAGTGAAGGAGGGTACCTGTGTACAACATGCGGGGAGTTTGAGAGCAAACCTTTTGCCTTTACCCGCGTTAATGGGGAATATTTTGAAATGTGATTGTAGCATGTTGTAGCACATAACTTTAGCAAACGAGCATATATTAGGCGATGCATAAGTTTGTTCCCCCGACTTTTTTTTGTAAAAATCTCAATAGTGAATCGACCTGAAGATTAGAGGTATGCACCATCACCATCCACTACTCGGTGCCAACGCTTAGGCAGCTTGTCGATTTATTCCTCCCAAAAGGACGGGGGCTGGGACTTGAAGAGTGCATTTCTGACATCATCTTCTGTTTCGAACTGTTTTCCGTCCATAAAGCGCTGCAGGTGGTTGAACAGCCAGTTGTCGGAAGGAGCGAGGTCAAGGCTGCAGGGGGCTGGGCGACAATCAGCCATCAGTCCAGCTCGGCGTGGGTCGCCTTTGCGGTGTGGGGTCGGTCGTTGTCATGGTGGAAGTAGATTTCCGCATCGATCCACGAGTACGGTCGACGTGATCTTTCAATTTCCGCAACTGGGTAACCTCTGTTGTCGTCTGTTAATCGTCCCTTCTCCAGCAGCTCCCGGTGTTCCATGCCTCTTCTGGACAACCGACAGGACAGAAACATCTTGGAGTAAAGGCCGGCTTTTGGGACGGCTTCTGGCTGTTCTCCTTTGTCGACCCACTGCCGCTTCCTCACAGGGTTCTAGTAGAGGACCCACATCTCATGTCCAGTGATCATCAGTTGAGGAAATGGACCTTTAGAAGGTGAGGAGAGAAGTGCAGGTGATCACCCTCCTCGAGAGATCACAAGCGGACATGTCATGTGGGACCCATCGATCAAGCTTTGCTACCTTGCCGTGTTCCAGTCCACGTACAATCGTCGATTGATCACGGTCGAGCATGATCGCCATTTCCCTGGTGGTAGGGTACGGGCCCTCCTCCTTCACGGTGGAACGTAGTACTTCCAAATCCAACTCCATCGGCCGAATCGACCTCGGAGCATCTTCGAGAGAAA